GATATATTTTATGAGAGAGAGGTTCAAAGACCAGCTTGATATTTAGATTTGTTATTTCTATTGAAGACAAATAAAAGTCAATATCGATAGTATCGGATCATACAACCATAATAGTTTAAAATTGACTTGATGATTTAACAGTTTTCTTGACAAAACCTTCTGTTATCAAATCGTGTTCCATATTAACATTGATGTTTGAATAAGTTATCGATCTTTGACACTATTGAATGCATCGAAAACTCGAAACGCAAACACAAAATCGACAAAAGTAGAGTAAAATATAAACAAAGTAAATACGTAGAGATTTTTGAAGACAGCAATGTTAATAAGACCAGGTATTCCCGAAGGAGTCAGGATAGTTACAACGACACAAACATGAACACGAATGAACATAATCCATATCATCGACCTTTAGTTTTTAGTCATGTATCCAAATGAGATCATGATGACGATCTTAATACTCGTATCTTTAAAACCCAGTGATGTAAGTTGGTCAGTCAGCAGTCGGCATCGTTCATGGAAATCATAATACTTGAAGCAACCGCTTGAATACCGAAAAAACTGCGACATATTAAAACAGTAGGTTGGGGAAGCAGAGATGTAACTATGGAGAAAAAAAAGTTATCGGAAAATCAAAAAGGTCCCATTTACGGAACATCTAAGCAGTAAACCGAGCCTGTTGGTAATGCTGTATGAAAGGAAAGCGGTTGAAGTAGACAAATCTAGTACCATGCGTCCTTGATTAAAACTAAGGAGGGTATATACGATCGACAATACATTTCTTGAGTCTTGATAAACTCGTTCTAAAATTTGAAAAAATGAAAACAAAAACAAGTGACCACACCCAACAAAGATATCGTTAACCAAGAACTCAGTCATTTTCCTGGGTGTATTCTTAGTTAATTTCGTTTTTGCCTTTTTGGGTTTTTTCACAAAATAGTTTATAACCATATTGTTTTACTGCCGTTCGCGTTTCTTGGGAAGAAAATATCTCAAAGATTTTGATAGAAGAAATGCTTGAGAAGAGAAGGTGTTCAAGAAATGTACTTTGTATATGTAACGACTGATTACTGGGGAGGACTTACAATGTTGATTAGAGCTCTGTTTGGATGATTTTCTCATTGAACTCTTCCACAGAAAATGTTCTCGGTTTTTTACTGGGCAATGTTTGACATATTATGACATGTTTAATGTAAGCCCATTCACTACAAACTCCATATAGGAAAATATATGACAGGCGAGTTTATCCGGTTACATATATGGGTCATCCAAATCGTTAGACCCGATTCTGCAGGACGCATGCCAGGCGCGGATTTAGGAGGGTGGGGGGG